TCATAACCCTTATCTTACATAGGAATTTGTGCATGGGGGTCAACAACATCCAACCCTAAAAAAGCCCCATAACCCAGCAAAAAAGGGAATAGTAGAAAAATAACAAATTCCCCCTCCGCCAGCATACTTCCCAATTTTTAAAAAATTAACTGCTTACCATTAAGAACATCCATACTTTTTCAGTGCCTATTACATACACAGAACAATACACGCAAAAAAAAAAAAAAACCCCCCCCAAATTTTTCCCACCAGCCTAAAAAAGGAACATGACCAAACACAAAACACAGATCTTTTTGATATATCTCGTGTCCATATACACGGGGGTAAAAAACTCTGTGCCTAAAGGGCCCCGAAATGTGGAATTCATTACCAAAAATTAAAGTAACCCCGGGCTGAAATCAATTTAAGACTCTTCTCAAAAGCCCCCTTTAACACCTAGACTAAATGCTAAATACTCATACACTTTTCCATTTACTGGGGAGACAGTAAGGGGGGGGGAAGCGGGGGAATTTTGCCAGGATCAGGAAAAATACCAGGGGGAATGCTTTTAAATACCTCATGGGGGACAGCTTAGTGGGGGAAAAAATGAGCAAGGACAAAATAAAACCAATATTACAAACTAGTAATACAACAGGAAATAGCAAACAAGAGGACTCCACTAACAATAGTGAGGATATATTACCAAAAACAACTGGTGAGAGCTCCATTGTTGGTGCTAGTGAGGATAGGAATAAGACAGGTAAACATGCACCAACAGGGAATACAGTCACAGAAACCCGAGGCAAACGGAAACCAAGCCTGTGCACATGCTATGCACTTGGTATCTGCAGGCATGGGAAATCGTAAGCTTTTTCACCCTGAAATGTGTCCCTTTTCAGTACAGGAAAGACTGTGCTATAACTTAAATTGCCAGGCACACCATCTAAAGGGGACAAAAAGATACAAAACATCCAGGCCATGGGAAAACCTGGGTAGCCACAGCCATTCAAGAGGGAGAGGTTTTTTAGTGCCAGGAAGGAAAAAAAACTGGCAAGAAATGGCGAAAATCGTACACCAAATCCAGTCATTCCTGGAGTGGAACCACAGTCGATGGCCTCCACTCCAAACCAACAGATACAGATACTAATGCCGGAAAAAAAGTCCCCTTCCCCAGTACCAACAATACCACCAGTCCGATGACATTCTTCTTTGCAAATATACAGGGTCTAAAGCTAGCAACGAACAACAAAATACATTTCATCCGTAGACTGCTTGCAGAGGCAAATGCAATGTTCGCGGCTTTCACAGAGACCCACATAAAGGATCACTTGGACAACGAAATATGGATCCCAGGTTAAATCCTATACAGATGCGACAGAGTGAACAGGCAAAAGCAGGGGGGGTTGGGCTGTACATCGCAGAGTCACTTGTTTGCACAGAACTGCTTAATGCCTCAAATGATGTAGTGGAAGTTTTAGCAGTAAAGATCGAGAAACAAAACCTAGTCATTGTGGTAGTCTACAAGCTTCCGGATGCAACGTCCCAGCAATTCCAGGAACATCTGTTAAAAATTGACCACTGTCTGGAAAATCTGCCAGCTCCTGCCCCCAACATCTTGCTCCTGGGGGATTTCAACTTAAGGCACCTAAATGGAGGAATATAGCAAATAATGTTGTTGCAGTGATAACACCAGGAGGCAGCTCTGACGAGAACACACACACACGAGCTTTTAAATCTCTGCACAAAATTCAACTTAAACCAGCAAATAATAGAGCCTACTAGACTGGAGAATACGCTAGACCTCATCTTCACTAACAATGATGATCTGATACGCAATGTCACCATATCAAAAACAATATACTCAGATCACAATATAATTGAGGTTCAGACATGTATGCGCGGAGCCCCAGACCGACATAATGAGATTAGTCACGAGGGAGCATTCACTAAATTCAACTTCAATAACAAAAACATAAAGTGGGACCAAGTAAACCAAGTCCTAACCGATATAAGCTGGGAAGATATACTAAGCAACACAGACCCCAACTTATGCCTAGAACAGATTAACTCGGTGGCACTCGATGTATGCACAAGGCTTATTCCTCTAAGAAAAAGGAGGAGTAGATGTAAAATAGAAAGAGACAGGCGCTCCCTTTACAGGCGACGGAAAAGAATAACAGAGCGGCTAAAAGAGGCCAATATATCTGAAATGAGTAGGGAGTCACTGGTCAGAGAAATAGCAAACATCGAACTTAAGCTAAAGGAATCTTATAGGAGTCAAGAATCGAGGGAAGAACTAAAAGCCATAAATGAAATCGAAAGAAACCCAAAGTATTTCTTTTCCTATGCCAAATCAAAGTCGAGAACAACGTCCAGTATTGGGCCCCTACTTAAACAAGATGGGTCCTACACAGATGACAGCAAGGAAATGAATGAGCTACTCAAGTCTCAATATGACTCAGTTTTTAGCAAGCCGCTAACAAGACTGAGAGTCGAAGATCAAAATGAATTTTTTACGAGAGAGCCACAGAATTTGGTTAACACAAGCCTATCTGATGTTATCCTGACGCCAAATGACTTCGAACAGGCGATAAATGACATGCCAATGCACTCTGCCCCAGGGCCAGACTCATGGAACTCCGTGTTCATCAAGAACTGCAGGAAGCCCCTATCACGAGCTTTTACCATCCTATGGAGAGGGAGCATGGACACAGGGGTCATCCCACAGTTACTAAAAACAACAGACATAGCCCCACTCCACAAAGGGGGCAGTAAAGCAATAGCAAAGAACTACAGACCGATAGCACTAACATCCCATATCATAAAATCTTTGAAAGGGTCCTAAGAAGCAAGATCGCCACCCATCTAGAAACCCATCAATTACACAACCCAGGGCAACATGGGTTTAGAACAGGTCGCTCCTGTCTGTCTCAACTATTGGATCACTACGACAAGGTCCTAGATGCACTAGAAGACAAAAAATGCAGATGTAATATGTACAGACTTTGCAAAAGCCTTCGACAAGTGTGACCATGGCGTAATAGCGCACAAAATGCCTGCTAAAGGAATAACAGGAAAAGTTGGTAGATGGATCTATAATCTGTTTGTGAGGACACAAACAGAACGCAAAGAGTAGTAGTCAACAGAGTAAAGTCCGAGACAGCTACGGTGAAAAGCTCTGTTCCACAAGGCACAGTACTCGCTCCAATCTTGTTTCTCATCCTCATATCTGACATAGACAAGGAAGTCAGCCACAGCACCGTGTCTTCCTTTGCAGATGACACCCGAATCTGCATGACAGTGTCTTCCATTGCAGACACTGCAAGGCTCCATTCAGACATCAACCAAATCTTTCAGTGGGCTGCAGAAAACAATATGAAGTTCAACGATGAGAAATTTCAATTACTCAGATATGGTAAACACGAGGAAATTAAAACTTCATCAGAGTACAAAACTAATTCTGGCCACAAAATAGAGCGAAACACCAACGTCAAAGACCTGGGAGTGATCATGTAGGAGGATCTCACCTTCAAGGACCATAACATTGTATCAATCGCAGCTGCTAGAAAAATGACAGGATGGATAATGAGAACCTTCAAAACTAGGGATGCCAAGCCCATGATGACACTCTTCAGGTCACTTGTTCTATCTAGGCTGGAATATTGCTGCACACTAACAGCACCTTTCAAGACAGGTGAAATTGCTGACCTAGAAAATGTAAAGAGAACCTTCATGGCACGCATAATGGAGATAAAACACCTCAATTACTGGGAGCGCTTGAAGTTCCTGAACCTGTATTCCCTGGAACGCAGGCGGGAGAGATACATGATTATATACACCTGGAAAATCCTAGAGGAACTAGTACCGAACTTGCACACGAAAATCACTCACAACAAAAGCAAAAGACTTGGCAGACGATGCACCATCCCCCCAATGAAAAGCAGGGGTGTCACTAACACGTTAAGAGACCATACAGTAAGTGTCAGGGGCCCGAGACTGTTCAACTGCCTCCCAGCATACATAAGGGGGATTACCAATAGACCCCTGGCAGTCTTCAAGCTGGCACTGGACAAGCACCTAAAGTCGGTACCTGACCAGCCGGGCTGTGGCTCGTACATTGGTTTGCGTGCAGCCAGCAGTAACAGCCTGGTTGATCAGGCTCTGATCCACCAGGAGCCCTGGTCACAGACCGGGCCGCGGGGGCGTTGACCCCCGGAACCCTCTCCAGGTAAACTCCAGGTATGTACTCCCACATCATAACTGAAACAATCTCATTGAACATTTTATCCATTGCTGACAGGAATAAAATTGAATCATTGTTTTTCACAAAAGCATTTAGAATATAAATATATCTTTGTATTATACAAATTTTGATCCATTTACAATTAATATTCTACTGTACAACTATGATATACTACTCCTTAGTATTAAGTAGACTGTAAGCCAATAATGTTAAGTTGGCCCATAATGCCAAGGCATAATAGAAGCTCTCTTTGTATTGCAACCCACTATTGTATATACACAGTCTCAATGTACTGTTTGCAAAGACATTAAATAAATAAATAAATAAATAAAGAAGTATTCACAGAGACAGAAGGGACTCCAGAAAAACGGAGAGGTGGGATACACAATCAAGTGCTGGATACAATACATACAACTGAGGAAAAGAGGCTGCTAGGTGAGCTAGATACCTTAAAGGTGACAGAGTCGGATAACATATCTCCATGGGACCTGAGAGAGGAGGTAGAGGCCCTCTGTGAACCACTAACAACGATCTTCAACACATCTATTGAAATAGGGCGATTACCTGAAGTATGAAACACAGCAAATGCAGTCCCAATTTAAAAAAAAAGAGACAGACACGAAGCAATAAACTACAAACCAGTGTCACAGACATGTATAGTATGCAAAGTCATGGAGAAGATTATCAGAAGAGTGGTAGGGCACCTAGAAAAGAATGAACTTATCAACGGCAATCAGCACGGTTTCAGGGATGGGAAATCCTGTGTCACAAACCTACTCAGTGTGATCACAGACACCAACGAGGGTAGACGTATTAACATCCTTCTGTTAATTTCCCTCGTGTAGACCTCTACACTCGAGGTCATCATGGTGAAAGTAGTCGTAGAGTATTGCGGTGGATGAGGGTACGCCCCCCGCTATGAGGAACTAGCCAGGATGATAAAGGCAAAAGTTCCTCAAGCAGAGGTGACTGGCTTTGTTGGCCGCCGAAGTTCTTTTGAAGTCAACGTCGATGGTAAGATGGTCTTCTCAAAGTTGGAACGCAGGGGCTTTCCCAATTTTGATGAGGTCGTTGAAATTGCGGCGGCTGCAGAACGTGGTGACACTATTGGCACTGTGAAGAAAACATCAGCAGCTTGCGCACTCTTGTAACTTAATTTCATTAAGGCTCTTGGAGCCTGCACATGCATAACTGATACAGTACAGCATTTAAAGTTTCATCAGTAAAGTGTAATTAAATTTGTATTCAGTTATGCTATAAGCTGATAGATAGTGGTATAGACACCCCTAGTGGGTGATATGTATACCTGGAGTGGGTTTCGGGGGTCAACACCCCCGTGGCCTGGTCTGTACGAGCAAGATTCTTCCTTGCTATACTATACCACCATAATTAAATTTGTTTTATTTGTGCTAAGCTACCAGCAGTAGTTTAATGGTGTGTTGAGATGTTTGGAGTGTTCTGTGCAACGATACTGTTGATGAAGGAAATTGTTCAAACACAATAGTGTGGCTGTTTCTGGAAGTGATATGTATAGGTGTTACTCGCCTCTAACACCTTTATATTCATTGTATTCAATTTTAATGAGTTGTTATACATTGTAACATTTGGTAAAGATAAATATTTTTTACTTTTGTTTTATTACCTTTTACTAAAAGCTTACTTGACTAGGAGCCTAATGAGCATCATAGGGTAGGAGCCCTTTTGGCCTGAGGCTACCACCTATGTTTATACTAAAAGTATTTTTAGTAATTATGATGAGTCCATTACCCTTAGTAGGTAGTAAGTCCCTAAAGCATAGGTCTGGCTGCATGACTGCTTTATGCTTGAGGGGCTAACCACTCACACCAAAGGTGATGAACTGAGCACACCAGAATTACTACTACCTAGCCCTACCTCTGATATACCTTTGAAGAGTTTCGAGAGTTTCACTACTCTTAGCCTGGCCATGGGCCAGGCTCGTCTGGTGCTTGCCTAGTCAACCAGGCTGTTGCTGCTGGAGGCCTGCTGCCCCACACATCCATCACAGCCTGGTTGATCTGGCACCTGGTGAAGATACTTCTCCAGTTTCTTCACTTGTCCAGTTTCTACACTTGTTCCAGGCGTGTTTGATATCTTTTCGTAAGATGTTGAATAGTCTGGGACCCCGGATGTTGATAGTATTCCCTTACTGTCCTCACCGCACCCCAGCTCCTCATTGGGTTTATTTTACACTTCCTCCCATATCTCGCTCTAGTACGTTATGGCAATGTGCAGATTTGGGACCAGGCCCTCAAGTACTTTCCAGGTATATATTATCATGTACATGTATCTCTCTCCTCCGCTCCAGTGAGTACATGTTCAAGACTTGAAGGCGTTCCCAGTAATTTAGGTGCTTTACTGGCTCAATGTGAGCCGTAAACGATTTCTGTATTTGTTCCAGCTCTGATATTTCTCCCGTTTTGAATGGAGCCGTCATTACTGAGCAATATTCTAAATGAGGGAGCACTAGCGACTCAGTGTCATCATCGGCATTATTTCTCTTGTTTAGAAAGTTTTCAAGACCCACCCTGTCATCTTCCTGGCTGTCGTGATCTTTATCTTGTTATGGTCTTTAGAAGAAAGGTCAGCTGACAATTATTCCCAGGTCTTTTATGTGTTCCTTTCGTTCTGTTTGGTGACCCTCTTGAGTTTTGTATATAGTGTTCCTTTTGAGTTCTTCATTCTTTCCATACCTAAGCAGCTGGAACTTATTACCACTGAATGTCATGTTCTCCGCTGACCACTGGAAAACCCTGCTCATGTCTTCCTGTAATTTTTCAGTGTCCTCTACCATAGTGACTTTCATGCTTATTTTAGTGTTATCTGCAAATGATAAAGTGTGACAGGTGTTTTTAACTATGCTATGAGGATGAGAAACAGCAGATGTGCCAGGACAGTGCCTTGGGGCACTGAGATTTTTACCTCGCTGATGCTATGCTATGAGGATGAGAAACAGCAGATGTGCCAGGACAGTGCCTTGGGGCACTGAGATTTTTACCTCGCTGATGCTAGATCTTGCTCTGTTTACTACTACTTTTTGTATTCTGTATGTTAGAAACCCGAAAATCCATCTGCCTACCTTTCACATCCGTGCACACGAGGGCCTGGGATCTTCAATCAACTTGGCGTCCACCAGGACACTGACATGTCCCTAGGACAGCTCTCCATCGGGCTGCTAACGGAGTCACTGGCTTCTTGGACCTCTTGGGGAGGGTCGATGGTGCTCGTGCAAGCAGCAGATCCCGGGGCAACTTGCTGCTGTTTGCAATGGCTGTCTGCCGAGGAGAGACAGGCACCTAGCAACATCTGTTGTTGGGGCAATGACTGAATTCCCTAATATGTTTGTTAACTGCTCATTACTCTGTAATTTGTCTATGATTGTAATCATGTCATAACGTGTTTATCATTCATTACCTTTGAAACTTGTCATGATTGTGACCAGCTCTACCCGGAGCTCATTACCTTTGTAAATTCTCATGATTAATGTGTTTATGATTCATTACCTTTGCAATTATTCATGAGTGTGACCAGCTCAACCTAGAGCTCATTACCTTTGTAACTTGGTCATGATTATGACCAGATCTAGTTCATTACCTTTGTAACTTGCTCAGCTATCAAAACTTTGGAGTCCAGTCCCTGGACCAATTATGTACCTCTGTAATCTTTTGACTACCGCCCACAGGATGGGTATGAGGTGCATAATAAACATATTAAACTAACTAACTAACAAACCTACTGGAGTTATATGGCAGAATGACAGCAGTAAGACAAGAGAGAGAGGGGTGGGTATATTGTTTTCTTGGGCTGCAAGAAGTTAACACAGTTCCACACAAGAGATTAGTGCAAAAGCTGGAGGACCAGGCAGGTATAACAGGAAAGCCACTGCAGTGGATCAGACAATACCTGACAGGAAAGCAACAGTGAGTCATTTTACGTGATGAGGTGTCAGAGTGGGCGTCTGTGTCGAGCGGGGTTCCGGGGTCAGTCCTAGGACCGGTGCTGTTCCTGGTATATATGTACGACATGACGGAAGGAACAGACTCAGAAGCGTCCCTGTTTGCTAGACTTAGAAGCGTCCCTGTTTGTGGACGATGTGAAGTTAATGGGGAGAATTCAATCAGAGGGGGACCAGGCAGGACTACAAAGTGATCTGGACAGGCTGCAGGCCTGGTTCAGAAACTGGCTCCTGGAGTTCAGCTCCAACAAGTGCAAAGTCGTGAGGATTGGGGAAGGGCAAAGAAGACCCGAGATGAAGTAGTCTAGAGAGCCAAAGACTACAAACTTCACACAAAGAAAAGGATCTTGGGGTGAGTATAATACCGAACGCATCTCCTGAGGCACACATCTGACGACACTGGACGACAGGAGGGTTAGAGGAGACATGATAACGACATACAAAATACTGCATGGAATAGACAAGGTGGACAGAGACAGGATGTGCCAGAGAGGGGACACAGGAACAAGCAGTCATAGTTGGAAGCTGAAGACTCAGAAGAGTCAAAGGGATGTTAGGAAGGGCTTCTTCAGTCAAAGAGCAGTCAGGAAGTGGAATAGTCTAGCTGTCAGTATTGTATATGCTTGTGTAGTATATCGTAGTTCATATCATCCTATATATATATATATATAATATATATATATATATATATATATAATATATATATATATATTATATATATATATATACATACATACATACATTCGAACTTCATGGTCTCTTGTGTCACACAGCAGAAGGGAAGTATGCCAGGCATGAGGAGGTCAATGACATCATAAAGAGAAGCCTCGCCACAGCCGGTTGCCCAGCTCAACGGGAACCCCAAGTGCAGAGGTCTGACGGAAGTCAAAAGCGTCCTGATGGAGCCACTACGCTACCTTGGAAGGATGGAAAGCAGATTGCCTGGGACTACACCTGTGCCGCCACATTGGCAGACACCTACTTGCCATACTCCGTAGTGGAAGGGGGTGGAGCTGCCAGCCACAGGGAGACCCAGAAGATCCGCAAATATGAAGACCTTCCCCCTTGCTATAACTTCATCCCAATAGGGTCGGAGACCCTTGGAGCATGGGGCAATTGTGCTCTAAAGTTCCTAATAGAGCTGGGTGAAAAGCTCATCATAGAAACCAAGGACCACAGGGCGACCAGCTTCCTCTTTCAGAGACTCAGTGTTGCGATCCATAGAGGAAATGCCTGCAGCATTCTGGCCATGCGGCCCACCGCCGGGGAGCTGGACGAAGTATTCGAGATGTAGCTCTGAGTTACCTATGTTGTTTTACTTTCCATTGTATTTTTGTGAATGTTTTGTCAATGTATTTTGTCTTTAAATAAAATATATATAAAATATAGGAGGTGGTAGGAGAAAATTCTCAAACAGCTTCAGGGAGAACCTTGAGTTTTCCCTGAAGCAAGTTTATTCTTTTATATATATATATATATATATATATATATATATATATATATATATATATATATATATATATATATATATATATATATATATATATATATAATATATATATATATATATATATATATATATATATATATATTATATATATATATATATATATATATATATATATATATATATATATATATATATATACCAACAGACCCCTGGCAGTCTTCAAGCTGGCACTGGACAAGCACCTAAAGTCGGTTCCTGACCAGCCGGGCTGTGGCTCGTACGTTGGTTTGCGTGCAGCCAACAGTAACAGCCTGGTTGATCAGGCTCTGATCCACCAGGAGGCCTGGTCACAGACCGGGTCACGGGGGCGTTGACCTCCGGAACTCTCTCCAGGTAAACTCCAGGTATATATATTTTTTTTCAACAAGTCGGCCGTCTCCCACCGAGGCAGGTGACCCAAAAAAAGAAAGAAAATCCCCAAAAAGAAAATACTTTCATCATCATTCAACACTTTCACCTCACTCACACATAATCACTGTTTTTGCAGAGGTGCTCAGAACACAACAGTTTAGAAGCATATAAGTATAAAGATACACAACATATCCCTCCAAACTGCAAATATCCCGAAACCCCTCTTTTAGAGTGCAGGCATTGTACTTCCCATTTCCAGAACTCAAGTCCGGCTATATAAAAATAACCGGTTTCCCTGAATCTCTTCACTAAATATTACCCTGCTCACACTCCAACAGATATATATATATATATATATATATATATATATATATATATATATATAAT